ACGCAGGACCTTCTATAGTTAAAAAAAAAAAAAAAAAAAAAAAAAACGAAAGTTAGAACTCCATTCACCACAGACACTGAGGTAGTAGGTGAGTAAGTGGGATAGTGCTGTGGTGAGCCAGCGGAGGGTCCCCTGTGCCGGTCCCCACCATGGATGACTATCCCATCCAGGGCCTGTTGGCCCTTTCTGTCCTGTTGGGGCCGCTGTTCCAGTTAATGTTCCCATTGGGGTTCGGACGTGTATGTACGTCCCGCATGTTGATGCGATCTGGGACAGTGAAGCCTGGCCCCACACCTGCGGAACAGGCAGGAGTAGACCGCAAGTTGGCAGAAAAGAAAAAAGAAAAAGAAGCCAAGAAAAAACAGAAAGAAGAAGAGCCAAGCAAGAAGATGAAAGAGAAGATGGAGAGAGAGTTAGAAGAAGAGTTGAAAAACATACAAGAAGAAAGTGGAGAGGAAGAACATTGCAATGACGTCGTCACATTGACCTAGCGGAAAGTAGTACAGCGCAGCGGCTTCCTGTTGAACCGCTGGATTGGGCTGGACAGTATTACTACTCCAGCGAACCCTTAAAGGAGTCTGAAGAAGAACTCGACGTGTTCATTGCAAAATTGGCCACTGTGACAGACACTGTTGAACGAAATCTGATGTTGGAGGAGAAAAGGGCGGAGCTGAACATTAAGTTGTTAACAGCCAGGAGACAAGAAGTGGAAGAAAAGAAGAGGCTGCAGGCAGAAGGGGAAAAACTACAGAAAGCTTTAGAAGAGCAAAAAGACAAACCCTCTGCAACAGAAAAACAACTTGCTCTCCTCAGAGAGGCTGTCCTCAATACAAGGCAGGACATGGTATTGATGTGTCAGAACTTGCAAAGGGTAGAGACACATAGGGTGGAGTTCGAAACCGTCTGGAACAACTTCCTAGAGAAGTCATCTAAAGATGTTGACCAACATGTGCAAACATACATTAGGGCCTTGGATGAGCATGTCACTAAGACCTTCACTCCGGAGGTTATAGACAAGATTGTAAAAGGAGCTGGAGGCGGAGGAGGAGATGGTGATGACGATGGCGATGATGACAAGAAGGGGAAAAGAGATGGGGATCCAAAAGGAAAGCTTCCACAGGAAACAGGGCAGGTCAGTAAGATTAAACTCAAACTGTCGTGGACCTACAATGGAAAGAAGGAAGAAAGTGTTCTGCATTGGGCGGCAGCAATCGAAACGTATGTGTATGGACAGCGAAGTCCATACTGGGACAGGGTTTTAATGGCCACTTCATGCATGGGAGGCGACGCCATGAGCTTCGCCATCTCGCTGCAAAAGGAGGCGGGATGTAGCTCAATGGTAGAGTTCTCGCAACAGACTCGAATCGAAGACTTTCTCAAAGCAATTAGAGAAAGGTTTGAGGATAAAAACTTAGCACGTCGCACATAAATGTTAATCCTCAACCTCCCTGACAGAAAATGGAAGAGCACTTCTGCCTTGAAAGCAACTATGGATGAGTTGTTGCAATGCCCTGACCATGGATTGACGCCTGCCCAGATTTTGAATAGTTTCGCACGAGCACTGCCTGATCGAGCACTGCCAGATCCCCTGAGGACACAACTTTATCCCCGTGTCAAAGAAGAAGGAATGATGTATGAGAAGTTCGGCAAGATCGCAATAGATCACGCCGGCTTCCTCGCTGAGGCAAACTATTGCCATTATTGGAAGGATCTGCAAGCGGGAAAGAAGTGGCAAAACCGCACTATCTCAGGGTCTATACCTGGGAAAGACAGTCTCCTTCTAACCTTTGAAGAAGGAGGCGCCGAGACCATTTCCTGGGATCAAGTAGATTATGGTCTCGATGGACCCAGCGGACCGGTAGCTCAGGAGGGGAGTTACGCGGCCGTTGTAGCCCGCGGGGGAGGGCGTCAAGGAAGATGGGGTGGTCGAGGAAGAGGTCTCGACCGTGGTGGACGAGGATTCGGCACCCAGAGGGGTGGTGGTGAAGGAAGCCACTACGTGGGAGCAAGGGGAAATGGTCCCTCACAAGGTGGTCGTGGTTCTTACTCCATCTGGGGTAGAGGAAGGGGCACTTGGTATAACAAGTGGGACGAACCGTACCCACCACATACAGGCCTACCCGAAGGAGAGCCTTGGAAAGAATTGGGAATAACAGAAAAAGTCTGGCAAGAAAGAAAGAAAGCAGACCAATGCCGCAAGTGTGGGGACCCCGACCACATTGTCCCCTATTGCCCTGACTATAGGGGGGCAAAAGGGAACAACCAATAGAGGTGCCAGTTGCCTCTACCGGGGCTTCGAATGTTGAAAAATCAGAATCCTCCTATTCGAAGGCTCCAATGGCAGAAACTGAAGAGGAAGGCAGTCCTCATCTACTGCACTGTCCGGAGGTGGCAAACGTATGCATCTCTCTAGATGGATCCCTCGCTGGCGTGGGTGATGAGTTGGCCGCTCGTCGCCGAGCCTGGACTAAAATGAGAAAAAAGAAAGGACAGTTAATAATTGCAGATCTTGAAATAAATAGAATAAGAGTTGGAGGTATGGTAGACCGTGGGTCTACACGCAATTATATTAGTAAGAAAGGTTTGCAGAAACTGCGTCTTGGGCTTAAAGTTAAGAAGTTGAATGAGCCCATTGTAAGTAAGTTAGCCAATAGCAGTGAAACCATCATGGATCGATACGTTGAGGGGGTTCAAGTATACTTTCGGCTCGAGGCAAAGGGGAAGGTGGAACATGTTCTTCACTCTCTGACCTTCCTGGTGGAAGATAACTTGCCCTTTGATGTGTTGCTAGGAATGGATTGGGGTGAGGCTGCAAATGCGGATCTGAAGTTAAGAGAGCATGAATGTTGGCTCCCAAGTCCGCAAGGGGGTAAAAAGAAAATTCGCCACTATCATGAGTCTGGAAAGGAAAGCAGCCTAGCTTACTGTTGCATGAGTGCCCCAGCGTTCGCTCGCCATGTGAGGAAACGTAACTTGTATGATCAAGTCTTTGTTGCATATGTGCGCCCAGTAAAGGAAGGAGAAAGTAAGGAAGATGTCAGGTTTCAAGAAATTGAAAGGATCTTGAAAGAGTTCGCAGATGTGGCTGAAGCCCCGAGCGGTGTTGTGGAAAGACCCATCAGGCATCACATTGATATCATTCCAGGGAGCGCGCCCCCGAAGGGGCCTATCTATCGTATGTCGCCCCAGGAATTGGATGAATTGCAAACCCAACTCGACGAGTTGCTAAAAAACGGATGGATAAGACCTAGCTCCTCGCCCTATGGTGCACATGTGCTCTTTGTGCCTTAAGAAGGATGGCGGCGTTCGCATGTGTATAGATTATAGGAGGTTAAATGACATAATGATAAAGAATGTTGAACCATTACCGCGAATAGATGATTTGTTGGATCGCGTGCAGGGTAGCAAAATGTTTTCAAAGATTGATTTGAAACCCGACTACCATCAGTTTGAGGTTGAGCCGGAAGACCAACATAAGACTGCCTTCAGGACAAGGTATGGGCATTATGAGTTCATAGTTTTGCCCTTTGGTCTAACGAATGCCCCTGCCACTTTCCAAAGAACGATGAATGAACTATTTCATGAATGGCTTGACAAGTTTGTCGTTATCTATCTAAATGATATTTTGATTTTTAGCAAAAATGAAAAAGAGCATGTGGAGCACCTTCGACTTGTGCTAAATAAACTGCGAGAAGCAAAACTCAATCTAAACCCAAAGAAGTGTGAATGGGCTAAGCGTCAAGTTCTTATTTGGGACGTGTGATTGATGGAGATGGGGTCAAACTGGAAGATGCTAAAATAAGCCATCAGAGATTGGCCGAACCCCCGCACCCTGACTGAGTTGCGGTCGTTTTTTGGGTTCGCCAACTATTATCGCAAGTTTGTAAAACACTTTACGATAATAGCTGCTCCCCTTCGCAGGTTGCTTAAAAAAGAGGTAATTTGGAAGTGGGATTCAGACTGCACAATGTCTTTCAAGCGTCTGAAAAAGTGTTTGATTAACTATCCGGTTCTAAAAGTGGCAGACCCTTCCTTACCTTTCGTGGTCACAACTGACGCCAGTCAATATGGCATAGGTGCTGTACTTCAGCAAGACGATGGACACAGATACAAACTTGTGGAGTTTATGTCTTACCGATTGCCTAATGAGAAAATGGTCGCTTCAACGTATGAAAGAGAGTTATATGCTCTTCGTGAGGCTCTCAATCATTGGCGACACTATCTTCTGGGAAGGCATTTTAAAGTGTACTATGACCATGAAACACTTCGTTGGCTCAAAACGCAAGCTAAAATGACACCTAAGTTGACAAGGTGGGCTGCGGAGATTGATCTATTTGACTTTGAATTAAAGCTAGTAAAGGGTAAATATAACGTTGTTGCTGATGCACTAAGTCGTAGATCTGACTTTTTCGGTGCAATTGTAACATATTTAGATGTTGGTGCCGATCTCCGAGAAAGGATTATGAATGTGTATCCCTCTGATCCTGTCTATGGAACCATAATTAAGCGAGTACAAGAGACGCCAGCAGAGTTTCTTGATCACAAGGTTACTTAGGGTCTATTGTTTGAAAGAACTGATGTGAATGATAGGCTATGTATACCAAATAATGAAGAGATCAAGAGTTTGATCTTAGGGGAATGTCATGATACAGAAGGTCATTTTGGGTGGAAGAAGACCTATGGGACTTTGTTGCGTTCCTACACCTGACCTCGAATGAAAGCATACTGTATCGCGTATGTGCAAGGTTGTCAAGTGTGCCAACGAAACAAAAACACCACACAATCTCCCCTTGGGTTACTTAAGCCCTTGCCTATCCCTACAGGCCCTGGCGATTCTGTATCTATAGACTTCATGGATACTAAAGTGAAAAGCAGAAATGGAAAAACGCAAGTAATGGTCATAGTGGATAGATTTACTAAGTATGTTGTTTTTGTAGCTTTGCCTTCGGAAGCAAAGACTGATTTGGTAATTCGGGAGTTCTTTAACCATTGGGTAAAAGACTTTGGACATCCCTTAACTGTTGTAAGTGACAGAGATACCCGGTTCACGAGTGAACAATGGCAGCAACTAATGAATGTGTATGGCTTTAAGTTGACTATGTCATTAGGCAGACATCCTAAGACTAATGACCGAACTGAATAGATGAACAAGATATTGCAACAGACTTTGCGTATGTACATTCGTCCCGACCAAATTGATTGGGATGAACATCTGCCTAAGGTTGCTAGTGCCTACAATAACTTTGTGCACCTATCTACATGTACAACTCCTATGGAGTTACATCTGGGATGGCGTCCACGCAGACCCATTGATCGATTAAACCCGGATCAAGTGCATAAGCTTCCTCTAGGAACTAGTGAATTCGCGATCCAATACCAGAAAGATATTGCGAAGGTAAAGGAGAACATAATCAAAGCACAACATCAGATGATTGAGCAGGCGAATAAGCATAGACGACCGTCTCAATTTGCTGTAGGAGACCTAGTTTGGGTGAAGTCTAAAGAGTTTGCTCCTGAAGAGAACATTTCTCAGAAGCTTCTACCCGCCTACAGAGGGCCTTGGCAAGTTTTAGACGTAATTGGTGATGTGGATGGTCCTTCATATGTCATTGAGATTCTACATCTGCACACTTATCCAGTGTTCCACGCATCCAAGCTCTTCCCTTGTGTAACGAATGAACTCTTTCCAAGTCACCGATCAGCCATTCCTCCAAGTATGGATGGAAAGTATGATGTGGACAAGATTGTTGCAGAAAATACTTTTCATATTGGTCGTAGAGGCAGACCACAACGTCAATTTAAGGTGAGGTTTGCATACCAGGATCCTAGTGAAGATTGCTGGTTCACAAGAGAGGAATTGTTAGATTCTGCATCTCATATTGTGTCTGCATATGAAAGAGGAAAAAGAGGAATTCATATCATTGATAGGTAAATGATTCTCAGAGGACTTCGAAACTAGGCCGACGAGAGTAAAAGGGCCTTTTACCCGATACAGGCCTCATGAAAGTAAAGCAGCGTGAAAGGGTATCTCGCCAGGACCCAGAAACGTGAAAGCAGGTCAAAGGTCAAGTTCTCTAGCAAGGGGCACATCCTAAACTAAAGTAAAGGTCATTGCWGCAAGACCAGGARATGCACMCATSATGTCTGTTCARATAAGGGTATGTCTGTACGTGCAGTCAGTCTGTYTGTTCGTGCAAAAGGAAGTGTCTATTCGCACAATGTGAGTGTCTGTTCAGGCAGTRAGTGTGTCTGTTCATCTAAGTTGTGCCTGTCCGAAAGTAAAGCCAATAAACAGAGTCCCAGTTTTGGTCTAAGTCTCAGGRACAGTCCAGATCCAGACATCCAAGTCCAAATCTAGGCCGAGTGCCCTCAGCWGCAGTTGAACTTCATTGGGACAGTACTGGGACACATGCAYTGCAGGGTCTGGGACAAAGGAAGGCCTGAAGCAGCCAAATGCAGACCCASCGAGGAGAGGCTAGCACTATAAAGGAMGCAGCCAGCCTCATTCCTYGCCAGATCTCCACTGRCATTCTGTGCGTGGAAGTGCTGAAGCACTTGTGCGCCAGTCAGCAGGAGCAGCACTGGAGGATGAAGATGCGCTAGGAAGGAGGAGGAAGACTGTGCGCTGGAAGGGATGCAGCCATAGCTGCCCAGCCAGTTAGTATAGAATTAGAGGGTTAGTAGTAGATAGCTATGAGTAGTATTCAGAGTAGATCCTTGTGAGTGAAGAGTGTGTATACATCGTAGGAGAAAGAGACTGAGACAAAGAATGTTCAATCAAGGTTTGGGCTATGAAGGATACTTACCTGAGTTGGATTTGAAATGCAGAGGTGGCGCTGATGAGTGGTGACCACATTGATGACCAGGGTACAATCTGCAGGAGTAGCGCTGATGTATTGAAGTCACATTGATGAGTCAATGCAGGATCTGCATTATGTTGATGAGCGGTGGACTTGGGGAACTATGAAACTCTTTGTAATCATATTTTTGATAATACAAGTTGTGCAACTCGGTTCTCTTCTCATCTATCTTTGTCTAATGTGTGAGACTCTTGATCATTGTGTGCAAGGATGATGCGTGACATGTACACACTTGTGTGAGATGGTCTTCAGGACCCATGCAACAGTGAGTTGTTTGGGCGCTGAGTCGCCATAGTCATTGAAAGTGAACTCGTACCTGGGTTTCCATATCTCTGAGATTTGAGTGGGCACATGTCGCCAGTTTGCTGCACTACTGCTTGCGTGCATGAAAAGTGTGAATGAAAGTGAGTCTGATTGCATTGGGATCGGAGCTGGTACCCGCTATTCCATGCGCGCCGTCTTGTGCAGGGAGTGATGCTCCATAGTTGAGGTGGCCGCCACGAGAAGAAGTCCGCCATAGCGGACCTGGAATTGGAGAAGCCGCCGCGCACCTGCAAAAGAGACCACGACGAAGAAGAAGAGAGAGAGAGAGAGAGATAGAGGAGAGAGAAAGGTTGAGCGATACAAGATTGGGTTACTACGTACCTGCTGCGCTGGAGATATCGCTACGACGCGCGCGTGCGAGAGAGAGAGAGAGAGAGAGAGAGAGAGAGAGAGAGAGAGATGAGCGATACAAGTTTGACTATTACGTACCTGTGAAGTGCAGTCCCGTGAAGAAGAAGAAGGCCATAGCCGCGGAGCTTGACCACGGAGTGATGAAAGAGGGGAGAGAGAGTGGACAGAGGGAGAGACTGAGAAGGGAGAGAGAAGCCATAGCCAAGGAGAGGAAGAGAGAGAGACGATCAAAAAAAAAAAAAAAAAAAAAAAAAAAAG